CATGAAATGGAAAACTATATTGAATCCATTGCTAGGTCAGCTGCTAAGAAAGTTGATTCACTGTGTTGTGCAAGACAATTTTTCTCTCCAGTATCTATCTTATATATCTATAAGTTTACCATTTGTCCGTGCTTAGAATATTGCTGCCACATATGGTTTGGTGACCCTGCTATTTACCTGGCGCTTCTTGAGAAAATCCAAATAAGAATCAGCAATATTATTGGTTCTGAACTGGCAGCTCAGCTCCAGTCAATTTACCACAACTGTAAGGCTTCTTATCTGTGTTTTGTCTATAAATACCTTTATGGCAATTGTTTAGATGACCTCTTCTCTATGTGAGCTCGACTCTTTGAATTTAATCACAGCACTTTGCAGTTGAGCTGACAAGATGGATCATTTAGTTCTGTACTAGCAGTTTCTTTTTTTGCACTTGTGGAACTCTCTACTGGCTCCATGATTTCCAGTCAACTTTAATCTTCAAAAATTTAAATACAATGTCAATTGCTAACTGCTGTCCTCCTGATTACTCTTTTCTCTTCTTGCTCATTATTAATGTTTCTGTTGTTAATTCTTCCACACCATGTAATTCCTTGGGTCTTAGTGGTTTTACTGTCATGCATAGGTTGATACCAATATATATATATATATATATATATATATATATATTATATATATAATATATATATATATATATATATATATATATATATATATATATATATATATATATATATGTAACAAATTAAACTAAGAAAAGCACATCTGGTTACAATTTACCTGTACTGTTTCCGGCATTTGCTGTTTTCTATAAATTTGGGGATGGGAGTATTTTAGCAGCCATTCTCACCAGATTGCATCCAACAGACATGAGTAATGTAAAATAATTAAATATTTTGCTCAGAGAACTTTCAGCAAATTATAGTGTATCAAATAAAACCATTTCAGTTTTTTTTTAATGTGATGAACAAGCAGAATGCTGTTTGGATTGCAAGAGAAAATATATCGGATGCATAGATCATCTTCAGCAATATAAAGTTAATCCATTTTTCATTGTATCTTTACTTGCAAACACATTTAAAAAAATATTGGGTTCTATCTGCTCGATGACTGGATATGAATGAGAAGCCAAAATCGTACTACTGAAATTGACTGGTTCATTTATAAAAAAATAGGGAAACATTTTCAATATTTGTTGTAGATTAGCATTTATTGAACTTTTCTCTATCCATAGCATTTGTCAGAATTCAAAAATATTGATTTTCGTCATTTTAGAATTGTGGGGTGTATACTTTACATAATATGTCAAATCGGTTCATAACTTTTTAAAGTGTTATTTGTACTATGACACTATCAAGACGAACTATTCTGCTTGTAAAAAAAAAAGAAGGAAAACTGCATAGATTTAAATTTAATCAAGGCACACTTTTCTAAACCACTGTATGATATATTAATTGTAATAACTAAATATTTGACATTCACTGACCGAGCAGCCAGTACATCTGTCAGTTGGAATTCATAAAATGTTTATCCTAAAACAATTCTTTAGTAAAATAGATTTCTCAATTCGAGTAGTTGTTATCACTCTTCCAGTGTTCCTAACCTATTCTTAGAATTCATGTGGAATGTCAACATCTTGATTATATCATTGTTTTTCTTTTCGAGTTACAAGTGATATCCATTGTTGTTGAAAGCCCTCAAGTGATGCGGGTTTTGTTATTTGGTACAGTTCTTCATTTGTGATTGTGTATTGAGATGATCCAAAGGGTCACCACTCCATGGCGCATGCACACACACGTGAATAGTAGGGCCTTGATATCTCCTGTCCACTTGGGGTAAAAATACTTTTACTTGAATCAGTTGAACATAGAAGCTTTATTGCATCTTACATATTTATATATCTTCTGTTGATCAACATATTTGAAAATATTTGGATAATTTCTTTACTGGCATGAATTTATCCAATCAGCCCCCCCACACACACACACTAAGGTTATAACTTTTTTGTAACCCTGTGTTCCTGGATGCACAGTGGAGTGATGGTTAGCGGCACAGATTGAGGAAACGGAGAGCTGAGTTCAAATTCCAGTCAAATACATTACATTCACTTATGTGCTCATATACTTGGGAAAGGTATTAATCCTCTTCTCCTCCCCCCAGATATGGGTAAATAGTAGGAATTCTTTTCAATTATAGTTGTGACTAGCAGCATGGCCCGGCGTGGCCCGTGCTTGATTAAAAAATCGTATGACTCATACAGCAATCGCTATCACTTGACTTAAAATATGTTTGCCCTTCCTTGCCTTTAAAGGGGTGCCCTTTGCCGTGCTGATGTTGCTACATGCCTTACTTCTTGCCTATCTCACACTGCGAATTTTTTATAAGCTCTATACTAAACATTAAGTCTGTTACAAAAAAAAAAGAATTAAACAAAATGAACACAAAACGATCAGTTTTAAAAAAGGACTCGTAACTGGAAAAACCGAATGAAAAAAGAATGTTAACAACAAATACTTTTTCACACCCAAACACAGTTCTGCAGAATCATAATCAACGTTGAGTTTAAGCAAGCGAATGAGCCAATTGGAGTAAAGTGCCATGGAGATTTAAATTTTTCCCATTTGTGACGAATCCAGCTATCGATTTTTTTTGCATGCTAGTTAACATTCGTGTCAGTCAGCTGTTGGCTCTCACGCTGGCCAGTAGAAAATGTTCGCAAACTACATGAAAACGGCCGTAGAAGCATGAAAAAATTGATTATTTCCACTATCGATGGGAGTTAGGAACTTGGAGCATGTGCATGTAAATTTTTGTGCAAATCCGTCAAAAATTGTGGCCATGCATTCATTACACACACACACACACACACACACACACACATTCTGCCTTTTTATAGATAGAGATAGAGTTGATGAGTAGAAGAATATATTTTGATTCATTGGTTTTCTCAGAATGGTTCACTCTTCTATTTTGAAATATTTTATGAGCTTTTTGTTTCAGACTGAATATTAAATAATTAGGGTATATCTTCCCCCGCTAGTTAGGGATATAGACATGAACAGACTCGTATATCTAGGGAGATAGATATAACAAAAGCCTCAGATAGATATGAAGAGACTCAAATAGATAAACAAACACACTCTATCTGTATCAGTTTGTTCATATTTATCTATCTGAATCTTCTCACATTATCTGAGTCTCTTCATTATCTATCTAAATCTCTAAACCTTTTATCTAAACCTCTTGAATTATCTTTATATATATATATATATATATATATATAAAAGTGAACATTAAAAGTCAACACTCAAGGCAACAGGCTGTTTCATGTTTAGACACAATCATCAGGCCACCTGATGATTGCGTCTAGCATGAAACAACCATTTAAAAACAATTTTTCTTTTTTTTGATATTCAATGTTCAATTAATTTTTACATTTATTTACGCTCTATCTCTGATATTGAGCACTTTATCCCATAAATATAGCACACCTTAATACTATATTTCTTCATATATATATATATATATATATATATATATATATATTAATAAATATACATATTATCCCTCACCCATAGCATTACTCAGAGTTTCATACACAACACAATCTTCAGATGCTGACTGTTATGTAATTTAAATTTAAAAAATATCTGGTTATTGCAATGTTGGCATATTTATATATTATACTGGGATTACAGTTTTTTAACTTTAAAAAATATATTTGACATTTAAATTAAACGAAATTTACATATATATGTAAGAAAATATTTTAGAGTTATGAATATTAATTTTTTATATTAAACATAAAAAGAGATTACTTGTTCTTTTTCAAAAAAGGAAAAAAACAAACAAAGCATAATTTTCATTAAAAATTAATCTGGATCAACATATTTGAGCAGATATTTATTTTTATGCCTACATGTAACCATTAATTCATTTCTCTTGTCATTCGATGATGGCAGAAACAAAATTTCCAAGGATTTTCAGTGTAGCCAAAATAAAATTTGACATTGTTACCGAAATGTATGCTAGTTCGGTGTATGATATTATCAGTATTAGATTGACCATTAAAGGGAGAGATATTTTTTCTGCATTTGCATTTATTTAAAAAAATTAACGTTGTCTTTGTTGGAAATATATTTATTTAATATAATGTTGTTATATAGGTTTATTGATGTTATGAATGCAGCTATATCTGATCTTTATATTATTTTTGTTAAAAATCTTTTTCTTTTAAAATCTTTTTTTTTAGTGTTGGTGAATGATTAAAGTTATACGCACACACACACACACACACACACACACACACACACACACACACACACATATATATATATATATATATATATCTATGGGTGAGAGAAAGAAAGGTGTGCACGCACATACACATATATATAATCATGCTTATATACATTTTCTTCTGGACACTGGACATAGATGCACACAGATGGATAAGGAGAGTGGGAGACACACATGTGCAGCACTCCTTGGTTACATTTATTGCTTAAGCCCATACATGCCCAGGTATTCACCAAAAAAAGAAAAAAAAAGAAAAAGTAAACAAATGCATACAGGACTTCAGTCAACCATGTAGCAAATGAGAACGAAAGTGTTTTGCAGTAAAACTGCAAACTTTGTTGATTAACATTTGGCCACAGTAAGAAACAGAAAAACAATCATATAAAAAAAAAGCAAAAGGCAAAGCAATTTATCAAGATAGAGGCCCCCTTCTTTAATCTGCATTGATTTCTTTGATCCTATGTCAGCCAAAGTTTGACCCTCGGCTGAGCATCAGTGAAAGGTGAAGTGGGTAGAGACCTGTCAAGTGCTCTCCCACTCATCCCCTGACACTGGTGGAAAGAAAGAACATGTAGGTTAGATAGATAGATAGATAGATAGATAGATAGATAGATAGATAGATAGATAGGGAAATAATCGAGTAGTTTAGATAATGAGATTATAATGCAGGTTAACACGAGAGAATGAATGGGATTGAAATGTCATTAAGAGATGAATAGATAAATAGGTAAGTAATTACAATGGGATAGATAGATAGATAGATATGAACAGGCTGAGATAGATAGATAGATAGATAGATAGATAGATAGATAGATAGATAGATATGAACTCACTGAGATAAATCAAAATGTGGTTATGAATAGAGAGAAATAGTTAGGTATACATAGATATGAAGAGACTCATATATGTAGGAAGATAAATATAAAAAGAGACTGATAGATATGAAGAGACTTGGAAGGAAAGATAAAAAAGATTTGGACAGATAGAAAAACAAACTCAATATATATGAGTTTATTCTATTGGATTCTTTTCCTATTATTAGAGTTTCTTCATTATGTAAATCCTTTCATTATCTATTTCAGTGTCTTTATTATCTATCCGTATCTTCATTATCTATCTAAATCTCTTATCTAAATCTCTAAATCACTTGATTATCTATCTAAATATCTCTGTTATCTATCTAAATATTTGAGTAACTCTGTTATCTATCTAAATATCTAAGTATCTTTGAGTATTTTTAATATCTATCTAAATATCTAAATATAGTGAGGAATATGAGGCAATAAGTGGTAAGAAGATTAAATATGAAATACAGCATCTTGTGGTTAAATATAGACATCCAACAGAGAGAGAGAGAGAGAGAGAGAGAGTGAGAGAGAGAGAGAGAGAGAGAAACTAATCACTTGACAAAGGTGACACAAGCAGGGTAGAGACTATAGGGTATGATATATATGAATAGACTGTGTATATGAACAGAGATAGGGAAAGAGAGGTTAAGATATTAACAGAGAGTGGGATAGGCAGACAGAGAGGCATAAAAAGAGAGTGAGGCAGACAGAGAGGCATGAATAGAGAGTGAGGCAGGCAGAGAGGCATGAAAAGAGAGTGAGGCAGACAGAGAGGCATGAATTGAGAGTGAGGCAGGCAGAGAGGCATGAAAAGAGAGTGAGGCAGACAGAGAGGCATGAATTGAGAGTGAGGCAGGCAGAGAGGCATGAAAGAGAGTGAGGCAGGACAGAGGCATGAAAGAGGAGTGAGGCAGACAGAGGCATGAATTGAGGTGGGGCAGGCAGAGGCATGAAAAGAGGTGAGGCAGGCAGAGAGGCATGAATTGAGAGTGAGGCAGGCAGAGAGGCATGAAAAGAGAGTGAGGCAGACAGAGAGGCATGAATTGAGAGTGAGGCAGGCAGAGAGGCATGAATTGAGAGTGAGGCAGGCAGAGAGGCATGAATTGAGAGTGAGGCAGGCAGAGAGGCATGAATTGAGAGTGAGGCAGGCAGAGAAGCATGAAAAGAGAGTGAGGCAGACAGTGAGACATGAACTGAGCATGTGACAGACAGAGAGGCATGAAAGAGAGTGAGGCAGACAGAGAGGCATGAATTGAAAGTGAGGCAGGCAGAGAGTTATGAATAGATATACAGGCAGGCATGAACAAATTGAGGTAGAGAGACATGAAAAAGATGAGACTGGTAGAAACGATTAAAAAAACAAGAAATATGAAGTTAAGAAGGTAGGGATTTAAATATAAATAAATATGCTATATATATATATATATATATATATATATATATATATATATATATATATATATATATATTAGATAATGAGAAGTAATCAAGCAATAGCAAGGAAGTTATGTTGAGGTAGGGATGTGGTCAGCGGTCAATAAAATCTACGCACTGTCCAATGAAACACTCACAAATTCCGAGCTGTTTGAAAAATCTGTCAGTTGCATTGTAGCGAACATTCAACGAGAAAAGTCAGTGTAGCTGTGATTTTTGGAAAATCCTCTCTCTCTCTTTGTTGTTCTGTCTCTCTTTTTGCAATGTTTGCTTTTATTTTGTATGGTGAGAGACAAAAACGATTATTTTTGCTGAGGGGCAGAACTTTTGCCATAGATGCATCAAGTCCCAATATGTGAGAAAGGTTTCTTGACTCGTCTGTCTTTATAGAATGAGTTCTAGGAATAAGGAGATGAAGCAAGTTTGTGGGTATGGGGTTGTGCATCAGGGGTGTTGGGGAGATTGTTTGGAGAAAAGTTAATATTGATCAACGTAACTCTTATGTGTGATTTTAGATTTGGATGAACAACTGAATTGCTTCAGTGCTCTGCTGATACAAGTACTTTCTGATGATTATTTTTCGTTCATTTTGTTTTACTTTCTTTTATTTTTTGCCAGGGTTTTGCTAAAAACTATTTTTCTTTCCTCAGACTTATTACTATGTTATCATTCTCTTTCTTCATCTTGTCTATCTAGCCATATTTTTTTTTCTTTTATTCTGCATTATGTCTGCTCATTTCTTTCATCTTTCCATTCTTTATTCCTCTTTTATATAATTTTATTTCTTGATTCATATTTTTTTCTATGTTATCTTTGTGGTCATTTTCTTTACTTCCTGGCAAAAGTTTCTATTCATTGATTTCTAGATTTTCTTTTTATTTCTTACATTATTAATTTATTCTTTTCCTTCATTTTCACTCATTCCTTCAACACATTGTATTTGGTTCTCACATTTCAATCATTTATCCCTACACAATTCTTTCCTTAATCTGCATTGCATCTTTTCTTTTCATGCATTCCTTAATCTGCATTGAATCCTTCCTTTTCGCTCATTCCTTCCTTACTTTGCATTGCATCCTTCCTTTTCGCTCATTCCTTCCTTACTTTGCATTGCATCCTTCCTTTTTCATTCCTTCCTTACCATTGCTTCCTTCCTTTTCCTCATTCCTTCCTTACTTTGCATTGCATCCTTCCTTTTCACTCATTCCTTCCTTACTTTGCATTGCATCCTTCCTTTTCACTCATTCCTTCCTTACTTTGCATTGCATCCTTCCTTTTCACTCATTCCTTCCTTACTCTGCATTGCATCCTTCCTTTTCACTCATTCCTTCCTTTCTCTGCATTGCATCCTTCCTTTTCACTCATTCCTTCCTTACTCTGTATGCCTTCCTTCCTTTTCACTCATTCCTTCCTTACTTTGCATTGCATCCTTCCTTTTCACTCATTCCTTCCTTACTTTGCATTGCATCCTTCCTTTTCACTCATTCCTTCCTTACTTTGCATTGCATCCTTCCTTTTCACTCATTCCTTCCTTACTTTGCATTGCATCCTTCCTTTTCACTCATTCCTTCCTTACTTTGCATTTGCATCCTTCCTTTTCACTCATTCCTTCCTTACTTTGCATTGCATCCTTCCTTTTCGCTCATTCCTTCCTTATTTTTCCTTTTTTTTTTCGCTCATTCCTTTTCTTGCTCATTTTTTCCTTGCTTTTGCATTGCATCCTTCCTTTTCACTCATTCCTTCCTTACTTCTGCATTGCATCCTTCCTTTTCACTCATTCCTTCCTTACTTTGTATTGCATCCTTCCTTTTCACTCATTCCTTCCCTTACTTTGCATTGCATCCTTCCTTTTCACTCATTCCTTCCTTACTTTGCATTGCATCCTTCCTTTTCACTCATTCCCTTTTGCACTCATTGCATCCTTCCTTTTCACTCATTCCTTCCTTTGCATTGCATCCTTCCTTTTCACTCATTCCTTCCTTACTTTTTGCATTGCATCCTTCCTTTTCACTCATTCCTTCCTTTCTCTGCATTGCATCCTTCCTTTTCGCTCATTCCTTTCTTACTCTTTTTTCTGTATGCCATCCTTCCTTTTCTCATTTTCACTCATTTCCTTCCTTTTCACTCATTCCTTCCTTTTGCATTGCATCCTTCCTTTTTCATTCATTCCATTTTTTTCCTTTTCGCTCATTCCTTCCTTATTTTGCATTCCTTCCTTTTCACTCATTCCTTCTTACTTTGCATTGCATCCTTCCTTTTCACTCATTCCTTCCTTATTGTATTTTTCCTCATTCCTTCCTGCATCCTTCCTTTTCACTCATTCCTTCCTTACTTTGCATTGCATCCTTCCTTTTCACTCATTTTCACTTTTCATTTCCTTCCTTTTCCTCATTCCTTGCATTGCATCCTTCCTTTTCACTCATTCCTTCCTTACTTTGCATTGCATCCTTCCTTTTCACTCATTCCTTCCTTACTTTGCATTGCATCCTTCCTTTTCACTCATTCCTTCCTTACTCTGCATTGCATCCTTCCTTTTCACTCATTCCTTCCTTACTTTGCATTGCATCCTTCCTTTTCACTCATTCCTTCCTTACTTTGCATTGCATCCTTTCTTTTCATTCCTTCATTCCCTTTTTTACTCATTCCTTCTTACTTTGCATTGCATCCTTCATCCATTCCTTCCTTACTTTCATTGCATCCTTCCTTTTCCTTTCTTTTACTTTTTCATTGCATCCTTCCTTTTCACTCATTCCTTCCTTCCTTTCCTTTTCCTCATTCCTTCCTTACTTTGCATTGCATCCTTCCTTTTTTTACTCATTCATTGCATCCTTCCTTTCACTCATTCCTTTCTTACTTTGCATTCCTTTTCCTTCCTTTTCACTCATTCCTTCCTTACTTTGCATTGCATCCTTCCTTTTCACTCATTCCTTCCTTACTTTTGCATTGCATCCTTCCTTTTCCTTTTTCTTCATTCCTTTTTCTTCCTTCCTTCCTTTTCATTCCTTCCTTCCTTTTCATTGCATCCTTCCTTCACCTCATATTTCATTCCTTCTTTTTCCATTTCCTTCCTTTTCACTCATTCCTTCCTTACTTTGCATTGCATCCTTCCTTTTCACTCATTCCTTCCTTACTTTTGCATTGCATCCTTCCTTTTCCTCATTCCTTCCTTTCTCTGCATTGCATCCTTCCTTTTCACTCATTCCTTCCTTACTTTCTGTATCCTTTTTCACTCATTCCTTCCTTTCACTCATTTCCTTCTTTTACTCATTTTGCATTGCATCCTTCCTTTTCACTCATTCCTTCCTTACTTTGCATTGCATCCTTCCTTTTCACTCATTCCTTCTTCCTTGTAAATTTTTTTCTCATTCCTTATTTCTTCCTTTGCATTATAAATCCTTTTTTCACTCATTCCTTCATTCCTTAAATCCTTTTTTCACTCATTCCTTATTACTTCCCATTGCATCCTTCCTTTTCACTCATTCCTTATTTACTTTATTTAAATCCTTCCTTTCCTCATTCCTTCCTTTCTTCCTTTGCATCCTTCCTTTTCCTCATTCCTTCCTTTCTTTGCAAATCCTTTTTTCACTCATTCCTTCCTTACTTCCTTGTAAATCCTTCCTTTTCCTCATTCCTTCTTCTTTGCTTTTGTAAATCCCTTCCTTTTCTCATTCCTTTTACTTTGCATTGCATCCTTTTTTCCTCATTTTCTTTCTTCCTTGCATTCCTTCCTTCCTTTCCATTCCTTCCTTACTTTTGCATTGCATCCTTATTTTTTCACTCATTCCTTCCTTCTGCATTGCATCCTTCTTTCCTCATTCCTTCCTTTCCTTTTCCTCATTTCTTCCTTATTTCTCTGCATTGCATCCTTCCTTCCTTTTCCTTCCTTTCTTTTTTCTTCCTTTCCTTTTTTTCATTCCTTTTCCTTGCATCCTTCCTTTTCACTCATTCCTTCCTTTCTTTCCTTGCATCCTTCCTTTTTCCTCATTCCTTCCTTTTTGCATTGCATCCTTTTCACTCATTCCCTTTCTTATGCATCCTTCCTTTTCACTCATTCCTTATTGCTTTCATTGCATCCTTCCTTTTCCTCATTCCTTCCCTTCCTTTCTCATTGCATCCTTCCTTTTTCACTCATTCCTTACTTTCCTCCTTCCTTTTCACTCATTCCTTCCTTTCTTCATTGCATCCTTCCTTTTCCTCATCCTTCCTTTTTCACTTTTTTCACTCATTCCTTCCTTTCTTCCTTTCCTTCCTTTTCACTCATTCCTTATTTCTTCCTAAATCCTTTTTTCACTCATTCCTTATTTCTTCCTTTGCATCCTTTTTTTTCACTCATTCCTTATTTTTCTTCCTTGCATCCTTTTTTTCACTCATTCCTTATTTCTCTCATTGCCTTCCTTCTTTTTTCCTCATTCCTTCTTCCTTTGTAAATCCTTTTTCACTCATTCCTTCCTTCCCTTCCTTTCACTCATTCCTTATTTCTTCCTTTGCATCCTTTTTCCTCATTCCTTATTTTTTCATCCTTTTTCCTCATTCCTTTTCTTCCTTCCTTTTCACTCATTCCTTCCTTGCTTTTCCATTCCTTTTCACTCATTTCCTTCTTTGCATTCCTTCCTTATTTTCACTCATTTCCTTTTTTCACTTATTTCTTTTTTCCTTTCCTTTTCCTTCCTTACTTTCATTGCATCCTTCCCTTTTCACTCATTCCTTTTTCTTCTTTTCTTTCCTTTTCACTCATTCCTTATTTCTTCCATTAAATCCTTTTTTTCACTCATTCCTTATTTCTTCCATCCTTCCTTTCACTCATTCCTTTCCTTTTTCCTTCTTTTCCTCATTCCTTGCCTTTCCTTCATCCTTATTTTTCCTTCATTCCTTCATTTCCTCATTCCCTTTTTTCTTGTAATTCCTTTTTTTTCCTTCCTCATTTCTTCCTTTACTCATTTTTTTCTTCCTTTCCTTATTTCTTTCCTTTGCATTGCATCCTTTTTCCTTCATTCCTTATTTCCTTGTATCCTTCCTTTTTTCCTTCCTCATTCCTTTTCTCATTCCTTAATTGCATCCTTTTTTCACTCATTCCTTCCTTTTCTTCCTTGCATCCTTACTTTTCACTCATTTCCTTTCTTCCTTTACTCCTTCCTTTTTTCCTTCATTCCTTATTTCTTCCTTTTAAATACTTTTTCACTCATTCCTTCCTTTTCTTCCTTGTAAATTCCTCATTCCTTTTCTTCCTTATAAATCCTTTTTTCACTCATTCCTTATTTTTCATCCTAAATTTTTTCCTTCATTCCTTATTTCTTCCTTTAAATACTTTTTCCTCATTTATTTTTTCTTTTTCCTCATTCCTCATTTCTTCCTTGTAATTGCATCCTTTTTTCACTCATTCATTCCTTATTTCTTCCTTGCATCCTTCCTTTTTTCACTCATTCCTTATTTCTTCCTTTCCTTTTTCATTCCTTTTTCCTTCCTTTTTCCTCATTCCTTCCTTTCTTTTTCATTTTTTCCTTTAAATCCTTTTTTTTTCCTTCTCATTTGTATCCTTCTTTTTCCTTCCTTGTTAATCCTTTTTTTCCATTCCTTCCTTACTTTTTTCCTTCCTTTTCTCATTCCTTTTTTTTTTCCATTCCTTTCTTCCTTTTAATTGCTTTTCCTTCCTTTCCATTTTCTTCCTTCCTTTCATTTCTTCCTTCCTTTTCACTTTTTCACTCATTCCTTATTTCTTCCTTGTATCCTTTTTTTCACTCCATTCCTTATTTCTTTCCTTGTAAATTCTTTTTCACTCATTCCTTATTTCTTCCTGCATCCTTCTTTTTTCATTCCTTATTTCTTCCTTGTAAATTCTTTTTCACTCATTCCTTATTTCTTTTTTTCATTCCATCTTACTTTGCATTTTTTCTCTCATTCCTTATTTTTTCCTCATTCCTAATTTCTTCCTTTTCACTTTTCATTCCTTATTTCTCCTTCTTTTTTCACTCATTCCTTATTTCTTCCTTGTAAATCCTTTTTTCACTCATTCCTTATTTCTTCCTTGTATTGCATCCTTTTTTCACTCATTCCTTATTTCTTTTCTTGTAAATTCTTTTCCTCATTCCTTATTTCTTCCTTTAAATCCTTTTTCCTCATTCCTTATTCCCTTCCTTGTATTACCTTTTCACTCATTCCTTATTTCTTCCTTGTAAATCCTTTTTTCACTCATTCCTTATTTCTTCCTTTCTTTTTTCACTCATTCCTTATTTCATTTCATATTTCTTCCTTTTCCACTTTTTCAATCATTCCTTTTCTTCCTTTTAAACATCCTTTTTTCCTTCATTCCTTATTTCTTTGCATTAATTACTTTTTCACTCATTCCTTATTTCTTCCTTGTATCCTTCCTTTTTCCTTTATTTCTTCAATTCCTTTTTCATCATTCCTTTTCCTTCCTTTTTTCACTTTCCTTCCTTATTTCTTCCTTGTAAATTCTTTTTCACTCATTCCTTATTTCTTCCTTGTAAATCCTTTTTCACTCATTCCTTCCTTATTCCTTCCTTTTCACTCATTCCTTTTTTCACTCATTCCTTTTTTATTTCTTCTTCCTTTTTCACTCATTCCTTATTTCTTCCTTGTAACTTCCTTTTTTCCTCATTCCTATTTTTTTATTTCTTCCTTGTAAATTCTTTTTCACTCATTCCTTATTTCTTCCTTGTAAAATACTTTTTTTCTTCCTTCCTCATTCCTTATTTCTTCCTTGTAATTACTTTTCACTCATTCCTTATTTCTTCCTTTCTTCCTTTTCACTCATTCCTTATTTCTTCCTTGTAAATACTTTTTCACTCATTCCTTATTTCTTCCTTGTAATTCCTTTTTCACTCATTCCTTATTTCTTCCTTTCCTTTTTTTCACTCATTCCTTATTTCTTCTTGTAAATCTTTTCACTCATTTTTTCTTCATTCCTTCTTTTTTCTTCATTTTCTTCATTGCATCCTTCCTTTTTTCACTCATTCCTTATTTCTTCCTTGTAAATTCTTTTTCACTCATTCCTTATTTCTTCCTTGTAAATTTTTTTTCACTCATTCCTTTCTTCCTTGTAAATACTTTCACTCATTCCTTCATTTCTTCCTTTCAATCCTTTTTTCTCATTTCCTTATTTCTTCCTTGTAATTCCTTTTTTCACTCATTCCTTATTTCTTCCTTTTAAATACTCATTCCTTTTTCATATCCTTTTTTTCACTCATTCCTTATTTCTTCCTTGCATCCTTTTTTTCACTCATTCTTTTTCTTCCTTTTGCATAAATTCCTTTTTTTCATTGCTTTTTCCTCATTCCTTATTTCTTTTTGTAATTCCTTTTTTCACTCATTCCTTATTTCTTTCCTTGCAAATTCTTTTTCCTCATTCCTTATTTCTTCCTTGTTTCCTTTTTCACTCATTCCTTTTTCTTCCTTGTAAATCCTTTTTCACTCATTCCTTATTTCTTCCTTTAAATCCTTTTTTTCCTCATTCCTTATTTCTTCCTTGTAAATCCTTTTTTCACTCATTCCTTATTTCTTCCTTGTAAATCCTTCATTCCTTATTTCTTCCTTGTAAATTCCTTTTCCTCATTTCCTTATTTCTTTTTCCTTCTTTTTCATTCATTCCTTATTTCTTCCTAAATCCTTTTTTCACTCATTCCTTATTTCTTCCTTGTAAATTCTTTTTCCTCATTCCTTATTTTCTTCCTTTCCTTACTTTTTTCCTTTCTTATTCTTTCCTTCATTCCTGCCTTTTCACTCATTCATTCCTTATTTCTTCCTCCTTCCTTTTTCCTCATTCCTTATTTTCTTCCTTTTTTTTACTTTTTTTCATTCCTTATTTCTTCCTTGTATTTCTTCCTTTTTTTCACTCATTCCTTATTTCTTCCTTGTAAATCCTTTTTTCACTCATTCCTTATTTCTTCCTTGTTACTTTTTTTCACTCATTCCTTATTTCTTCCTTGTAAATTCTTTTTTTTTTTCATTCCTTATTTCTTCCTTGTAAATTCTTTTTTCACTCATTCCTTTATTTCTTCCTTGTAAATACTTTTTTCACTCATTCCTTATTTCTTCCTTTTAAATTCTTTTTTCACTCATTCCTTATTTCTTCCTTGTAAATACTTTTTTCACTCATTCCTTATTTCTTCCTTGTAATTCCTTTTTCCTCATTCCTTATTTCTTCCTTTAAATCTTTTTCACTCATTCCTTATTTCTTCCTTGTAATTCCTTTTTTCACTCATTCCTTATTTCTTATTTCTTCCTTTTAATTCTTATTTTTTCCTTCATTTTTTCCTCATTTCTTATTTCTTCCTTGTAAATCCTTTTTTCCTCATTCCTTATTTTTTCCTTTCTTCCTTTTAAATTCCTTATTTTTCACTTTTTCCTTATTCCTTCCTTTTCCTTGTAAATCCTACTTTTCACTCATTCCTTATTTCTTCCTTGTAAATACTTTTTTTCACTCATTCCTTATTTCTTCCTTTAAATACTTTTTTCCTTTTCTTTATTTCTTCCTTGTAAATTCTTTTTTCACTCATTCTTATTTCTTCCTTGTAAATACTTTTTTCACTCATTCCTTTCCTTTTTTTCCTCATTCCTTATTTTGTAAATACTTTTCATTCCTTATTTCTTCCTTGTAAATACTTTTTTTCCTTTTTTTATTTCTTCCTTTGTAA